TGGCCTCAGTTTCCTCATGGTAACATGAGATGGATAAGCTAGAGCATCTTGATGATCCGGCTCAGAGCAAATGGTCTCTGGAACTATGGTTCCATGTTTCCCAAAGGTGCCTCCCTCTGGACTCATCCTTGAATCTTTTCTCTCTTTATCCTCATAGATTCAATCCATTAGCAAGAACTGTCAATTCTAGTCTCAGAGTAGACCACAAATCTATGTCCATGACCATCATTACAATTTTCATCTCTATAATTTCCCCTGGATGGCTGTGAGAGCCTCTAGCTTGGCCCCTGTGCTTCCACTCTGGATTCTTCTCTGTCCTAATTCATTCTCCTCATGGCTCCCCAGAGTGAGATTTTAGCATGCAAATCAATCTGTCCCTTGCTTAAAACCCTCCAATGACTTTCCATTGCATTTAAAGTAAAACATCAAATTTATACTGTGGCTACAGGGTCCTGCATGAGCCGGCCTCTGCCTCTTTCTTCAGTATTATCTCAAATCCCTGTTCTCTTCATTTGCTGAGAGTCAGACAAGCTGGTCCCTCCTCCAGTCCTTGAGAAAACCAAGTTCTTTTCTACCTGAGAGTCTTTGCATGTGGCTATTTATGTCTCCCAGCTCTACACAAGCCCAACTCCCTCTTACCCATCAGCTCCTCAGAGAAACCTTCTCAGAACACTCCAAGTAAGGCTCCTTTAATTCCATTTCCTGTATTATCTATTGCAACAGCAGGTTCATGTTATTCATAGAACATTCCAATTTACACATTCACAATTGTTTGTTTAATGTTTATCTTATATCACTGTGCTGTCAGCTCCTTGAATCAAAGGTTTCTGCTCCCCACACGCCATCATCAATATATCTTCATATCTTCAGAACCTAGAACCATGCCCTGTATATTTCAAGCAGTTCATAATATCTGTTGACTATGTGAGTGAAGCTGACCACAAAGAGGGGAAAAAAATTACAAGAGGGAAAGACGAGGGAACTAAAGATAAATTTTGTCTGTGATGATTTTTATTCCTTCTTTAATATATTCCTTCTCGAAATGTTTTTGTACAGAAAAAGACATCCCAAATATCTATTAAAAATAGGTCTCTGGGCATAAGAAACAGGCCTACAAAGTCAATTCATGGATGGCTTTATAGTTTCACCCTCAACCTCATGAAAAAAAAGTAACCTGTGATCACATCTAACATGAATTTTGACTTTCACTGTTAAAATAAATTACACTAAACCAATTTGTGGAATAAACATTTCAAAGCCAGGAGGCAGAGGAAGTCTTTAAGGCATTTCAGTAACATTTGCTGGCATTCATCTTTTAATGTGCTAATTCCAGATTACTTTTATCTACTTGTGTAGAAAAAACTGACATCAGGCCCAGTGGCCAAGGCTGCTGGTTGATTTCCCCTTTTCCTTCCCCTTTCTACTGGAATGGCTGGAAAACCAAACTCTTGCCTTCCCAGTCTCCCTTGCTACTGTATGTAATTACGGGCCACTGTGTTGACCAATGAGATAAAAGCAGACATATATGTGGGGTCGAGAGTGTTTTATTAAGTGTTTGTTTTCCTGATTCAGAGACAAAATAGGAGGCAATGCTTCTTCCCCTTCATGCTACTTGAACATGGACACAATATCTGGGAGTTGCCATCTTGTAAACAAGAAGAAAAGGTCAAGAAAATCACAGAAGAGCCAAGCCTGTTCTCACTGAGACACAAGCCACCACCTGCCACTACTTTTCTTATAATGTGAGAAAGGCAACCTTCTCTCCCTTCATATTAGTGTGGGCAGCCTTTTTTTGTTTTACTTGCAGACAACCACATTTGGCCACATACTGTTGGTTTTGGGTTACTGGATTAATATCAACTTTGAAGAGATTAGAAAGAGATAAAGCTACTTGTGGATGAGTGTAGATACATGCAATTCAGATGGAACTTCCACAAATTCTAAATTAGTGAAGGTTAATGAAAATATTCTTTTCTTTTTGAGTTGGAGTCTCTATCGCCCAGACTAGAGTTCAGTGGCATGCTCATGGTCACTGTAGCCACGACCTGCTGGGCTCAGGCGATCCTTCCACTTCAGCCTTCCAAGTAGCTGGAGCTACAGGCATGCGCTACTACACCCAGATAATTTTTTGATTTATTGTAGAGATGAGGTCTCGCCAAGTTGCCCAGGCTGGTCTCAAAACCCTGGGCTCAGGCAATCCTCTCGCCTCGGTCTCCCAAAGTGCTGTGATTACAGGCTTGAGCCAGCGCGCTCGGCCTTATGATATATTCTGTAATCAAGCAGCAAGGACAATGAATTGAATCTCATTTGGAAGGATGTTTGATGTATGCAAGCCCCTTAAAAGTCCTTTCCATGGTGGCACTCAGATGGCCTACCATAGTGCCATACATATCAGGGGCTCACCAAACTTGTTGACTTTATTAGGAAATATGTAAACAGCAACAAAAAAATTTCTGTTGGTGTTTTTCATTGATTGTCTACTTGATCTCTAGCCTTGATCACTGTCTTAGCATCCTTCTCTATTTGTCTGGCTCAAGGTGACATGAAGTATATTTCTTTTCCCTTCAACATGTTTCCAAGAAACATTGTGGTGCGTATTCTGACTCTTGAGGGGGTTTCTACAGGCTCCTAAACTCTGTAAGTGGCCAGGGTGGGCTTGACAAGGAACAGTCCATCTCAAGTGGATCAAACTCCTTATTCCGGTCAGTTTACTCTTGTGTCTGTCTGACCTTTCATCTGAAGTCACAAATTCTTTCTTCAATTCTGTTAGGTGAAGACTCAGGAAACCAGGTATTGCTGGTTTCTGGAGGAGTCACTGGCTATTTCTGCTTTGTCCATGGACTTTCCAGAACGAGGCATGAAGCTCTCAAATCATTTTGAGCAGTGGCATCCTTTCCTCAAATGAAGTTTAGTCAAATATACAAAATCAATAAAAATAAAAAACAGCATCCATTTTACAGTGCTTCCTACATGAAGGCTGGGTACTGTGTTATAGGTTCTATTTGTATCAACCTCTTTCCAACCTTACAGATATAGTTGAGGAAGGAACTGTTATTTCCATTTTACCAATGAGAAAAACAAGCATAGAGTTAAGTTGTTTTTTAAAAACTAGGTAGGAGAAAGGTGGGGTATGTTGCTGTTCAGTCTCACCTTCACCTCAGTGTTAGGTTTTAAGATATTCTAGTGAAACCCTCAGAAGTTGGGAAAATGCTATTTAAAAATCCACTTGCGGTCAGAGGTCACAAACTCAAACACCTGGTGGGATCCGCTGAGTATCCCAGAAATGAGGGAGGTGAGGTAGGAATGCATGGACTAAAGAGGGTGGCTGCCACTCAGTTTTGGACAGGCATTGCCAAATTTTTTGCAGATTAAACAAAAACATGCCTGCCAGAAGATTCAGTTTATGGACCACAACCTGGAGACCTCTGGAGGAAGAGTAGGAAATATAAAAACACATCCTGAGGTCATTCCACAAGGGTGCTGTTAAGACGTGAAATGCCCACCAATGCAGGAAGTAATGGAGAAAAAACAAGTTCGTGGGTCTTTTCTGACACATGCATGTTTTGATGGCCCTACGTTACTGACTAGCTAAGAATTGTTTCTTCCCACTGTTTATCCACTGTTTATTTTTAGGCAAGCCCTTCCCCGGCTTGGTTCTCTCTACTCTTCACCATGTGTTTGCCAGTATTGGCCAAGCATCCAGTCTCACACCTCCTCTCCCACGCCCCCCCACCTCTGTCTTCTTATTTAAAGAAAAACACGATTATAATGAATGATGAGACTTTCTAAGCTATACACCAGGAAAAATAAGTCCTGAGGGGAAGCTTGTTAAAAAGATTTTACTCTGTTGCTCCTTAGGACTATTGGGCCTTCTTGACACTAAAAATGCAAATCATAGATGGATGGTAACGATGCCTCCAGCACATGTCTGTGAGGCCTTAATACTTATGATACTTATGTCTCCAGATCTGTCCATGGAGACCAAATTCTGAGCCATGACTCCCTGCATGCTTTTGAAATTTGGTAATCTAAAAGGAAATGCCTACTGTAAAAAGAGTTCACAGACATTAGGTAACTATAAAAGGAATACAGTCAGTGCTTATTTATCTGGTAACTCGGAGATTTGTGGCATGAACATTCTAGAATGTAACCAAGAGAACATAACTCATAAAGACAGGAGATCAGTAAAAGTGGGAATTTGTCTAGATTGGTAGTTTTTCAATTTCTTTTCCCCTATTTTCTTTTCACTCTTTCTTAGCTTCAGAATTACTTTTTCAAAACAAATTGTATTCACAAGTCCAACACATAAAACAGACAAAAATGGAGTTACTTTGTTTTATGTGGAGGACTGAAATTCCACTGAATTTGTTACCCTAGTTCTTTCAGTGTGATAGCTGAGGTCCCTCTGAGAAACCCCATTTTTGAACCCAAATCAACAAATTTACATCACCACTAGAATAAGATTATTTCCAGGTCTTTCTCAGAAACAAGGAAAGGAGAACCTTTTTCTCTAGGACGTTATTTCCACTTTTCAGAGGTAGCATATAGGAGAGTGGTCTGCATCTCAACTCACTTGTGTGACCTTGGCAAGATGGCCAACCTTTCTCATCTGCTAAAAGAGATATAATGGGAGTCCTACTTATGCTTCTGTAAGGACTCAGAGACAACACATGTCAGGACTCAGAACCTTGCTTGGCATATGGTAGGTGCTCAATAGATGTTAGTTGTACCACATTATATCCTCATCCTTTTTCTGTACCTTTCAGCTACAGAACATCAGAGTCATGATTCTGCTTATTAATCTTGACAAGCACATCAACCAGAAAGCAGACAGAGCAAGCCCAGATAATCTACAGCATGCAATGCGCAGTTGACTCTCAAGAACAGCTGAAAAACTGAATGTAATGGCATCTGGAAACAATTCCCATCTTTTAGCCTTCCAGTACTCCTCCCCCTAAAAAAATAGTATTGAGCAAAGGGGTTGAGAACAGCTGACTGACCTGGGAGAAATGTCACATCCTTGCTGCATGAAGGCTCCCAGGGAGAACCACAAGCTGTTGAATATCCCAAACTCATTGGACTGGTCACTGGTCGTCTGGTCCCGTCCTTCCTCAAACTCTTCACTGTGCCATTCATAGGGGCTGAAGCGGCTGACCAGGAAGAGGACGACACTCACTCCAATGTAGGCAAAAACAATGCACATCCAGATCTCATAAGCCAATGGATCAAGGAAGGAGAAGACCCCTGGTTTGGATTTCTGTGGTTTTTTAATCATGATGGAGATTCCCAAACTCATAAATGGCTTGGAGAAATCTATAACCTCTTCCCGGACCAAGGTGATAGTTAAGGGGGCCACAGCCACATCTGCTCTCTGGAAAAAAAAGAAAAAAGAAAAGAAAAAAAAATTCAGTTGAGCTCACAGGCTCTCTTTGTTCTTGTTTCTCTCTCCACTGTGACTATTCTTTTGTATCTTATAGGATGTGAGAGTAGAAAAGAACCTTAGAAGTCCAACCCCTCCTACTCTATAATATAGTTCTGACAATTGGATGATGTATCTCCATTATCTTAATAGCTCAATATTTTACAGTTTGTTTGACAGTTCTCATGTTTAAAGGTTTCTTCCTCATCCTGCAAGAATGAAGCTATTGTAATTCCATTGTTTTACCTGCCCAGAAGCCATGCCTTCTTCCTCTAATTGGAGAAGGACTCCTGTTCCACTCTCAGACCTTCAGGCTAGAATGGGATTGTCATTCTGGTTACATGGGGAAGCACATGACCCAAGTATGGCCAATCAGTATCCTTCACTCCCCTGGCCAGACCGATTGGTCCAAGGATGGCTTGGGTCGAGGTGAGTTTAGTAAGAATTAGTCTCAAGAGCCAGAGCTGAGAGATAGAGAGGACGATCTCTGATACATAATTTGGACCACTGCAAATTCGAGGCTTACCCTGGATTCCCTAGGAACATTCCTCTATTTATCACCAAGAAGACAAGCCAATGCTTCTGCTTGCATAAATCAGTTTTAATTGGGTTTCTTTTACTTGCAGCCAAGATGGTCCTGGCTAACAAGGTGGTGAAGGCAAATTTAATTCGATAGACATTTGTTGGACACTTTGTATGTGTAAGCTGTAGGTTGCAAGTTGTAGGTAAACTATGGTCCCCACACTCAGGAAATTTAAATTTAAATTGTGTGTGTGTGTGTCTGTGTGTGTGTGTCCCATAATTTTCTGGTCTGTAAGGTGGATTGCTTATGTGTTATCTAAGAGACACAAAATACTGCAGAAGATGAGGGAGGGATTTGTTTTAGCTAGAGAGATTAGGAACTGCATTAGGGAAGAGGTGACATATAAAGTTGGCATTGAAGGAGGGATAGGGGTTGACAGGTTGCTCTGGTACTGAAAATCATTCCAGGAGATGGGAAACATGTGAGTAAATGTCTAGTGATGAAAAGGTAGTATTGCAACTCTGGGGAGGGGACCCCAAAAAACTCCGAATTATCTTTTTGGAGGGGAAGCTCCTTATAGTACACTTGGAATTTGTTCCTCCAGATCAAAAGGCCAAAGTTTTTATCTCAAAGTTTTGAGAAGGTTGCCTCACAATTTGCGGAATCAATGTCCCGAGTTGTAGCAAACAGGTGACTGGTTCTTCCACCATGACAACGCACCTGCCCACACTGCACTGAGTAGTCAGCAGTCTTTGACCAAAAGTGGCATTACCCCCATACTCCACCCTCCCTATTCACCTGATCTTGTCCCAAGTGAATTTTTTCGTTTCCCTGGATGAAAAAAAAAAAGTCCTCAAAAGGAAACATTTTGCTGATGTGGAAGATGTGCAACAAAAAAACAGAAGAAGCACTAAAAGGCATCAAAATTGATGAGTTCAAGCCGGGCTCGGTGGCTCAGCCTGTAATCCCGCGCCTTTGGGAGGCTGAGGTGAGTGGATTGCCTGAACCTGAGGGTTCGAGACCCGCCTGGGCAGCGAGACCTCATCTCTACAATAAATCAAAAAATTAGCTGGGCGTGGTAGCGCGCGCCTGTAATTCCAGCTACCTGGAAGGCTGAGGCGCAAGGATCACCAGAGCCCAGCAGATCGAGGCTGCGGTGGCCGGGAGCGGCCACTGCACTCCAGTCTGGGCGACAGAGTGAGACTCCAACTCAAAAAAAAAAAAAAAAATTGATGAGTTCAAAAGCTACTCTGAGTAGTGGAAAAAGCACCTCAATAGGTGTATTGCATCAAACAGAGAGTACTTTAAAGTTGGCTGAGGTTTAAACATGTAAGAATAAATAAACAACTTTTAACAAATAAACTCCATTTTTGGGTCCCTTATTTTATTTTTCAGAAAGACCTCTAAGAAATTTACAAATAATTCAATTTTTAAGTTTCAACTTCAGTCTGCAGATAAACATAAAATGGTTGCATCTAGCATGGGGGACCACCAGGCCTTGCTCTTCTGTCTTTCCTACTTCTTTTTAAAGGCAGAAGCACTGGCATCTACTCAAGAAAAACTCTCTACTCTGTTGGCCTGAGATCAAGAGACCCTGGAAACCCAGAAAGACTTCCATGGACAGATGCCGTAGCGTTCATTTCCAAGATGAGAGGCATGCCTATGCAAGTCTGTTTGAGGTGAGTGGTTTTCTCTTATGTGCAGCAGTCCAGATGTGAGTCTGTTGACAGATGTTGTGTAGACAAGGCCTGCCCACCCACCAGCTGCTGCTTCAAGAAGATTTCACCTGGTTACTCTCATTGGTTGGGATAACTGAGGAGGTGCTTTGTACAGAACAGAAAATCTGGCTTCAGAATGACTTAAGTTTTCACTTATAGAAACAAACTTCCCATAAAGCAATGTGCAGTCAGGTGTGAATTTCATAGTAATTCTGTTTTTTCCCTAATGCCCACTGCCTAAATCTTGATAATTTTTACAAATGCAAGCCAGTGCAAGGAAGAAGATATCTACTCTTTTTGCTGTAACCTAAAAGAAAAAATAATGGGAGAGAAAAAAGGATCATAGACTGGAAACTCATAGATACACATAGTCTTACTGCTCTGTTCATTTAGCAGTTCAAAAATTTGTTTCATGGAACTTATTTCTCAAAGGATGGTTAATAACCCCAAAATAAACCTGTTTAGGAAACAGATTTCAATAGGTGGTTTGGCGCAGGACTTCTCCAGACCTTTAAATGACCACTGTGCATTGAGAATCTCCAAGAGGAATAAGTAGTATGTAGCATTTTAAAAAGTATTTGGCCATAGGTCATTCATTTTCCTAAGCATTTCAAAAGGGACCCATGTGTGTAGGATACACACATAATGGGAGAGGCTAAGTTCAACTACTGTGCTTCATTTTTACAGATAAGAAACTCTAGAGAAGATCCAGAGAGAGAAGGTGGTTTGGGCAATACAGCAATGTTTTAGCTTGGTTGACCTTGAATGAGAGACTTCAGGAGTTAGTTTCCACCACCACGGGAGTGGTCGAGGGCCGAGAGGATCTAAGACCCAGTGGCTCTTCTCTACAAGTTGCTGAGTGTGTAGCTTCAAGCAAAATGGTTGTCTTTTTGGATATCAAATTCCTGATTTTTAATGAAAGGTGTAACAATTCTCATTTGACCTAATTCACAGGATTGTTTTGTGAAGGTCAACATAATTCAAATACATAAGAGTACTTTGATGTGTGAGCATTTTACAGGCACTCAAAATTAGTTTCTTAAACTGACATCTTAGGACAATGGCTCTCAGACTTGAGCATGCATCAGAATCACCTGAAAGGCTTTTAAAAACACAGATGGGCCGTTGCTAGGCACCATTGTCAGGCCACTGCAGCCATTGCCTTGCTAAACTATGGTGTGGCCATGTGTTCTTTGGGCTATGGCCAGGCCATGTTTCCTGGCTTTGGTTCCCTCCCCTACCTTGGGGAGGTGAATCCCCTATCTCTCTCTCTCTCTCTCTAATTTACTTTCTAAATAAACTATACTTTCTAATCCGAAAAAAGAAACCAACTAACCAACACAAAAAACACAGATGGCAGAGTCTCTAGATTCAGTGGGTCTGGGGTGAGATGTGAGAATTTGCATTTCTGACAAGTTCTCAGGTCATGCTAAAGTGTTGGTCCAGAAACCACACTTTGAGAACATTGATGTAGGAGACCCCCAAAAGAATATGTGATGTCTAGAAACAATCCTGGGAAAACAGTCTAACAGTTTTGATGTGGAAAAAACAAACAAACAAACAAACCCCAAAACAAAAAACAAAAAGAAACACAAAGAGAATGAAACTATTAGGATGAGGACATATTCAGAGTCAGGTACTGCATAGGTGAACACTCTCCATCACAGCCCTGTGGTTAAGGACTCACTTTCCCTGATTTATAGAGGTGGCCCTTGGAGGAGTTATGCAGCCAGGAAGCTAGCAGAGTTGGAACTCAAGTCCAGGTGTTTGTCTGCAAAGCTCACTCTATTTCTGCTTAACCAAGACAAAAGACAGACATGAAGGACAGCTGTGAAGAAGGCGCAAAGACATATCAGGGCAAGAAGAAGAGACTTCATTTGCAGCACGTGACTTCATTTGCAGACACTTGCTGATCTCTCAGAGAATGCCGGCTCCACAGTCTAGTATTTGGATGGTGTGATTTCTGCAGAGGTGGTGTGTCCCAGTGTGGAAAACAAAAGTCATGGCTACATGTCCTGACACTGGTCTTACTAGTTGTGCTTCCTTTGCCAAATTATCTAACTCACCTGGGCCTCAGTGTTCTTATCTATAAAATGTAAACAATAATCTTACCTACCCTATAGCGTTGATACAAGGGGTCAATGAAAGAATGTGAGTATTCAGTACAGCACCTGGCATGCACTATGTGATGAAATGTTACTAGTATCATTGCTGATGAGAACAAGGAGAACAAGGAAGACAACAGAGACCCTAATTGACTTAGCTGTTTAAAAGACACAGAAATAATAACTTTGGAGGCTTCCAAATTAATTTTTCCTGACCTTGCTGATGGTCTGTGGTTGACAGCTACTTTCTCAAACCACCCTGTTTTTCCTCAGGGCAATAGCAAAGGAAAGCCAAACTAAAAATAAAGTGTAGGCATCCAATTGGACCATCATGGAGTCTTCAGAATATAGTGTCTGCTGGGCAGAGGGACAGGCCTGGTGAGAAGAAGAGATGGGGGCAGGAATAGCTGCCCTTCCAGGGCTGCCTCCACTTCCCTGAGCTCTGATGAGCCAGTGACTCACCACTGGCTGCTGGCTACTGGGGGAGCTTGTCCTCGAGATGATCCTGCCACTGTTCTGCACACATTGCAGGCTTTATACCATGGGAACCACATCACAGGAGGTGAAGGTGAAGACGAATGCTGGAGAAGGTGAAAAGTTCACAGTGGTTGCCATGGGGATGACCTTAAGAGCTTGGTAGGAGTTCCCATGGAAACCAGCCTCCAGATTCAGCATGTACCATCCAGGTCTCTACGTTTCATTAGTGGAGCTTCCCAAACTGAGAGGGAGTAGAAGGGATAAGAGAAAGGAGAAGCACATCCTATTCCCCGACTCATTAACCACCTTCACAGGTCATCTCCAAAGCCACCTCCCTGAGGAAGATGTTCTGCATTCCAGCTTTTTCTTCTTTGAATTTCCTTTGTATGTCTTTCACGACCATCAAGACTTCTCTAGCTATGATATGAGACAAGGAGATGTAACATCTGCCTGAATGGCTGCTGGTCCTGGCCAGCACTTAACATCGACCTAGGGCTCCACATATGCTGCTGCCCAAGACACAGCCGTGAGCATTCAGTTGCTATGAGTGAAGGTGGTCCCTTTCCTGCACGTGGCAGTGGGATGCTTCCTTCATTGCCTTTTGTTGTTTCTCTTCTCAAAGTTCATGATCTCCCAATGCCCACTGAATCCGCCACACTCTTCCTCTTGTCATTTCTTCCTCAAACTCATCCCTGACTACTCAAACCCAGCCCTCAACAAAAACAATTGAAGTTGATTCACTCTCCTCTCACACCTTATTTCCAACAGCATCCTATTGTTTATACTTTAGAAATCCCTGGGCTACTTTTCTCTCTATTTAAATATGACCACTTTTAAACTTCCAACTCCTTCCTGAGAGCTAGGCAAACTCAAGTTAGCCTCTTTGCTGGACCATACACTTTGGACTCCTAAATTCTATACTGTCTTTTACTGTTCTCTCTCATTGTCTTTTCTGCCCCATAAAAATGTTAAGATCCTTGAGGATAAGGATCAGATACTTGCTTCTCAAGGATTCCCTAAATACTTAAAACAATGGGGGCATTCAGTGGCTTCTCAAAACTTCTGTAATTTATTGAGGATTTTATAGCAATTGTGCATGGAGTTATTTGAAGCAAGGCGAGTGATACAAAGATGAAGCAGACCTACCACTAGTACACAGATAACCATTATACAAGGCAGGATAAGCTATAAAAAAGCAGAAACCAAATTCTACAGGGGAAGGCAAGAACAGTTAAGGGGAGAAAGAAACAGCATCCTGGAAAAAGTAGTGTTTGATGGAGGGTTTGAAGGAGGCGTAGGATTACAGAGGTGGATAAAAGAAAGGCAGGCACACTCTAGGGTACAGAGTGAGAGAGGGGCAGTTTGACTGAATTGGAAGTTTCATGAGAAGGGAGTATAGGGGAAGTGACTAGGAAGTTAAGTTGAATCCAGCTGCACGTAATACCAGAGAAGAAATTTACACCAGAGAGCCACAAGGGACTTTATTTGAGGGAAGTGGCAACTCAGCAATCCACCCTGGGAAATTGATCTTGGAGCTGTTCTGTCACCTGCATTGGACAACAATCAACTGAAGTCACAAGATGTTGAGTGGGGTTGAGGGAGCTAGGTGTAAGGACCTGAACAAAGAGAGTCTTAGGACACTGGACTTTGCATGACTCATCTGTTTAGCAGCAACAGTACTCAACTAGGGTCTAATAGCAATTGTGGGCAGGGCCACCTAACCACCAAATGATTTCCTGTCAAACTGTATGCTCCTGCCCTCTAGTTCCCTACCCTGAGGTGAACTTACTCCATAGACCAGCTCTCCCACCATGCCGTTCCAAGCCTTTGTGTCAGGGTCTCGGGCTCCATATTTTCCATCACTGACGATCTCCAGACGGTAGGAGTAGCCCACATGCTTGGCAATCTCTGCCGCTAGCTCCACACAGTAGCCCTCATAGCGGTCATTACCCTCAAACTGGTTGGCATTCTTCTTGAGCATCACATAAGGATCTTCCTGGTAGAGAAATGGAGATACAGAGAATGTGGGTGATGGATTCACCCATGGGGGGAGGACTCTGGCATGGCGGAGGAGGACAACCCAAACATCAGTTATCATTGGGAAGGCTACTTAGCCCCTCAATCCACTTCCTGAATTTCTGGACTCCCTACCTCCTTAAAAACTTCTTGGGTTAAGGAAGCAAACTTTGTTAAAATAAGAATGTTTCATCATGGAGATATGGCATGGCTTTTAACATTATGCCCCAGAGATTTTGTATTTCTGGCAGACACCTCTGGGGGCACCATAGAGGGGAAGTAGACCCTGCATAGGTTTTTCATGATACATCAGTGAAAATCACAGCAGCGTCACTTACGGCTACTTCATGTGCTGGACTTTGGTGACTTTCTTTGAAAATGGCTTCCACTGAGGGAGGATGAAGTATGAAAACCAGCACACTTCACCTCATCCTTATATTATATATATGGGAGAACTATCTCAAAAGAGGGTAAGTGGCTTATCCAAGGGTACAAAGTATGAGTTGGTGAAACTAAGAGGTACAGAGTGAGAACTCATAACCTCTCATTTCCAGGGTGTTCCTTTCTCCACTTTCTGTTTCGGTCCATAATATGGTTTTGGTAGGAAGAATGATGAGCTTAAACTCCAGGTGGAAAACCCTCCTGTTGAGCTAGCTGGGATCCCAAGTAACCTTGATAAAGGACTGGGTACTCACTAAGATTGTAGTGACGATGTATGTCCTATTCTGAACACTTGAATTATCCCCACCAGCTTGAGCGTCGGTAGCTGCAGGCACAAACTTGTCATCTTCATTCCAGTAACCAATCTGTAAATGAGAAGAAAGTAGAGATGCAAGGTGGGCCAGGATCCTTGGGACGGGCCTGCTCTGGGCTACTCAGCCAACACCAGTGGCAGAAAGGCAAGGAGCTTTGCATCACACCACAGTGTGGGCCACACTGGGCTCTAAGCTATCAGAAGACAGAAACAAGAGGCGGAATGCTCTCCAGGTGCCCCAACCCTGACTCCAGGGAAAATACTCATTATGGTGGGCTAAGCCCAGAAATGGCCCCCTCTGAGGGATCTGAGTTTGATGGTTCATGCACTGAACTGTTTTGCGCAATGCAAGCAGCAAACCAGGGCTGTGGGGACTGAATTCCCTGTAACTGTTTACAGTGCCAAACACCTTTCCCCCATACCTACCAACCCTTCCCTTCAGAGCTCATTCTGAAGTGTAGCTGGAATCACACGATTTAAACATTACATTCCCTTTACTTTCTTTTTAGGTTAACTGTATTTTTCCATCTGGATTTAACTTCCTAGGATGGTTATTTTATCCTTTATTTATTTCTCTTATTTCCAAGTACAAACTATTATAATCCTGAGCATAAAGTAGTGCCTAAAAATCATGGTTGACAGCATTACTTTTTCAAATATCAGCAGGTTATTTATACTGACTCATTTTCCAAGGTCTTTCAGCAAATATTTACTGAATCTCTATTGTGTGCAAGGCTCTGAGCTAAAGCATTGGCAGTGTTTGTTGTGTGACGGGATTGAAAGAGATACAAAGACATCCAAGAGATAGCCCTCACTTTGGGAATACGTCTGGTATACTTGGGAGGATATGACACTCCCATACACATGGCTCCAGAAGTGACAAGTGGGCTTAAGGAGTTCAAAGAAGCCAAAGCCAAGCGTGAGATCCTATGCAAGAAAAAATGCAGCAAGAGATAGCAGGGCTGAAGATGATGAGAGATGAAGAAGTTGGATCCAAACCTTTCAGATTAGGGAGAATATGAATCAAAGTGTGAAGGCAGGGGCCTGCTCATTTGTGTGAGTTTAGTGGGTCCTGGGTGGAAGATAGGGTGTTTGGGTCTAAGGTAGCAGAGGGCTTTGAAGGTCAGGCTATGTAGTATAGTCTATTCCTTAAGGCAACAGGGGGTCATGGAAGGTATGGGAACAGCAGAATAGTCACACACACACACACACACACACACACACACACACACACACCCCTAAACCTATACCTCCTATACTTATCTACTTAGCTTGTCTCTCTCTCCTTCTCTCTCTCTTTCCCCATTTCCCCATCTCTCTCTCTCACTCTCTCCATCTCTCTATTCACTTTAGACAATTATGTTTGTTTTGTGATTATTCTGCTGGCTATAGATACAAAAGGCCAAAAGAAAGAGAACTAGAAGTGCATGTCCAGGGGTGAGCAGTTCTACCAACAGCCAGAACTCAGCTCAGGCTCAGAAAAACAAAGGCACATGCCCAATGGTCAGCTGAAATGTCACCTTCCCCTTGATGTCTTTACCTGTGCCTTCAGTTGGAAATAAACAGTTCTCCCTGCAATCTTGCAGCCATTAACAATAATAATTGCTAGCACTAATGATGTTCTTGCTATGTCAGAGGCTAAGTGTTCAACAGTTTTCTTACTATTTCGTCTGGTTTGAGGGGGTGTTTACTTGTCCAAGGCGATGTAGCTGGAAAGTGGTTGGGCTTAGCCTGGGACCCTGGCAATCTGTCTCCAGAGGCTGCTTTTAATCACCATGCTGTTCTTGCTAGGCGGAGACTCAGCCCTGAGCTGGGACTCATATTAGCTATCGTTCAGTGTATGCTTATTGCATTTCAGGGACTCTTCTAAATGCTTTTTATGTTTTAACTCCTTTCATCCTCACGAAAACCTATGAAGTGGGTAGTTAATTATCATTTCCATTTTAAGCGTGAAGAAACTGAGCTAGGGAGAAATGAAATAACTTTCCAAGGGCCACGGGAGAGCTGTGGAGACAGGATCTGAGAGAGGAAGGCCGACTCCAGGGCTATGCCCTCCTGCATGCCAGTGAGCTGCCAGCCAGCCCTTGAGTGTCCCATAGAGTTCCCACTAGAGCCCTGTGGTCTAGCTGTTTGCACATCTGCCCTCATCTCTGCATGGTGCTGCAGATTCCTTGTGAACAAGACTGAAGCATTCTCATCCTAGGTCCCCTATCTTGTCTCTGCACATCCTTTGAGAAACAGCTCGAACGTTGTGCCAGGCAGCTGTGACCCAGCAGGGATGCGGTGGACCCTATTGATGCTGAGAGAGTTCAGAGGTCTGAGAGGGAATGCATCTCTCAAGATACTGTGTTGAGGTTCACTCTCAGTGCAGGCATGTGTATCTTACTTGTGAGGGTGTCGTCGGTCATTGCAAAAGGAGACTTTTCTCTCTAATGATACAATATCCAGAAACTCAGATTTCCAGAATGTCAGTGCTGGAAGAGACCTGAAAAATCACTTTGTCCGACTCCTTTCTTTTGCGTGGGGTGGGGTGGGAGGGTAGAGATTCAGAGACCGGGGGGCTTGCTCAAGGTCATAGTGCCATCTCAGCTCCCTCACATTGCAAGGGCAGTGCTCCAGTGAGCCCAAAGGGACCTGTGGGCCCATCTCATTCTCATGGGAGACAGGGGGTGGGGAGAGTACAGGGAAAAGGAGGGAAGCTCTGGGTTCCTCATCCCTGCTCCATTGGTCAGCTCTGTTTTCCATCTGTTTCACATATTGGGATTCCCCTCTGGCATTGCTTTTTACAAGAAGGCCTCTGACTGAAAAATAAAATAAATGTTTAAAACCACTATGGTGGTGTATAATGACGTAAGGGGTTTTTTTCTTTTTGGCATATATTTTTTAAATCTCCAAAGTGATTTTACAACATTGAACTCTTTAGATTCTTACACTATGCAAATAATACAGACAGCCTTGGAATTATTTTCTCTGTTTTACAGACAAGAAAACTTAGGCTTTGGGAGGCTGAATGATTTAACGTAAAGTAGTTGGTTATATAGCAGATTAGTGGCAGGGCACAGAATTCAGGTCTCATGGACTTCAAAGGTAAGATTATTTAATTAAATCAATATAAACTTGGGAAAATGTCTGCCAAATAGGATTGTTTTTCCCTTAGATAATGCTAAAGTATTTTTGTTTCTTCCTTCTCTTCTTCCTTTTTAACCTAATTTCTTCCCTCTCTCTCCTCCTCCCTCCCTTCCCTCCTCCCTCTCTACCTCCCTCCTCTTTGTCCTTTCTTTATTCTTTTATTTTTGCAATTAGTCCACAGGTTTAGCTGCTCCTACTCAAACTGTATAGCCATCAGCAGAAAGGAAGTTACTTCCTTAAAATTACTCTAAAACCCACAGATTATTAAGAGCGATTCTTCTTAAAAAGAGGGGACTCAGAGGTCAAGCATTTGGTCTCTAGCCTCAGGCAGACCTGGTTTAAAAACTAGACTTTCCTAATTACTAACTGTATGAGTTTGGGCAAGTTATTGGACCTCTATGGGCCTCAATTCCTGATCTGTGGAATGGATATTTTGCCTCAGGGCTGCCATGAGGATTGCATGAGTTAATGCGTGTAAAACAACTGGCATAGTGCATGGTTCAAGTAAGTTGTCAGTAAGCCAAAAAATGATATTTGTTAGGGTAATGGCAAATCGAAAGTTAACAAGTTTTTATACTATAAGATATTTCAGTTTTCAATTTGCTATTAAGCATTATCAATCTGCAAAGGAAGCATATATCATAGAGCATTTCCAAACTTACTTGACTATATAAACATTTTTTAACGTATAGAATATCCCAAGGTAAGTAGTTTAAAACTCACAAAGCAGTGCTTAAAATCTCAAGTTATTTTGATACAAGAAAAGAAAAGAGCAAAATGAATCTGTGTAGACCAGATTTATATAGCTTAGAAAAAGACTTCAGTTTTTAAGGATAGTGGTCCTTCAAGGCTAGTATCATAGTCCTACTGCTAAATTGACATCTGCAAACAATATTGTAGAGCTTGGTTTATTTCTAGCTATTTTCATATCAAAAGCTAGACAAATAGTTAAATGTCATAAACAAGTCTATTTTATTCCTAACCCTTTAGTAGGAAAATAAAACAAAATATGGCCAGGGTCAATAGAGACTGCTTGATGCTCTGCCTCATACTTGTACCTCCTGTAAATAATAGGCTAGGAAAACTGTATCCACAGTTTGATAAAAAGAAAGCTGTCAAAGATTTTTGAAGAGACATTGCACTTTGCAGATAAGAGCAAATTCCCTTTCTTTGGGAAATGGTTGGATTATTATACAACACTTTGATTCTCTACTGAGGATATACAGGAACTTTGATTCTGTCTGAAAGTAAATCAGAGTTAGTAGTTGGTAAAGATTGGGGCCTACCATTCAGGAGAAGATTTAAACAATTCTGTCAGTGAAAGGTCTTCTCCTGGGGCTGGTGATAATTTTTGATCTCCTGTTTTCCATCTACCTCTAAAGATTCTTTGAATGCAGAAAATGAGTCTAGAGATAGATCATATATATTTTTAAAGTGGATAAAGTCTTAAAAGGCGATGATCATAGAACTGAAAATTCAATTGATCTACCTTGCACAGTTATCAAATTGAATGTATACACTGATATCTCCAGGCTACCTCTGAAGTCTCAGCCCCCTTCTCTCCAAAAATAAGATCCATTGTAATCAATGTTTCAAAAAGTGAGTTGTCTATTGTGACAAAGACAATGAGCTAACCACTAAGCATTCTCACTTGCCTTCCGTTGTGTAGAGATGTTGGTGGAAAGTGGCTACCTAGTCAGCAACTACATTCCCAGATTGCTTTGCCTCTAGTTGGCCCAAGTGATTGAGTTCTGGCCAATGGAATGTAACAGAAGTGATGTACATCTTTTCCTCCCACCCCAGATCCCCAGTACAGCTTCCATTTTGTTTCTGTTTCTTCCCTATCTGTTAGGGGACATTGACTTCCAGAAACACCTAAGTAGACGGTAGAGCCTCCATAAGCCTGAATCTTAGTCATAGCCC